AATCTTAGATTTGTCATAACTTCTTCGTTATAATCCGGATTTTAGTGTTCTTTATATGTACGAAAACCTTGATACGATTCTTACCACTTTATTTAACCCAAATAAGATTTTAGGAAAGTTTAAATTTTGACCTAAATTTGACTTGTGTTACATTATATTGTCTCGAAATATCGGGTTGTCACACTATAAGTAGAAACCGAAGGGCAGCCGGCCATGGTTGCTAATTCCTTCATTCTCTCACTCTCAATACCCTCTCTATCCCTCTTAAAGCACCCCTGAAGCCCCGGTATCATCCCGACACCCGAAGAAAGTCCCAAAGCACCGAAGATCCCGAGAAGTAAAGAATTTTCGAGCCGAAGCTCTGCCTGCGAGAAGCCCAGTGTGTGAAGATATCCCAGTTTCACCGAACAATACTACTTTAAGAGTCGTAGCACTGTTCGAGCATCATCTTATCAATTGAGTTCATAGTCTCTTTCATAAACACGATTTTAATACAAGTATTGTTTGAATGTATTAAGTATACGTTTTGAGTGAGTGCATAATCTCTTTCTTCTAACACATAGGTATGAAGTGTCTTCTATAGAATACGTGCTATGTGTGTGTGTGTGTGTGTGTGTGTGTATATATATATATATATATATATTATGTGTATTTCGAGTGAGTATCGAATGAATATTTTATATAGGTTTTAAGTTGTATATAAATGTATAATTATATTGTTACCTACAAAAAATGTTGGGTAAAACATGGGTAGATAGTTGACGTGTGATAAAATGATGAGAGGCCTCGATATTGTTGTTGATTCAGTCATCTAGCGGAGCTTAGATGACGACCACGGACTCTTATAGACAGTCTAGTGAAACGCTACCAGGCTCGCCACCTATAGGTGTTATTAAATTCGGGTGTTCAATTGTTGTATTCCATCCCCCACATGGTTGCCTTGTTTGACATATATTGTTGAGGAACCCCCGAAACATGTGTTGTCGCCTCGATGAAAATCCTTAGGTTGTGTACCTTGTGATAGTTGTTTTAGGGACGTAAAGTGAGGATAACGAAAATGGGTAATTGGGTTATTGTTGGTTGATGAAATTAATATAATTATTTATTGTGGATTGAAAACCCTATATGCTCACCAGGATCCCAAGTCTGACCCACTTAGTTTTATTTGTATTACAAGTAGTGGCGCGAGAGCATAAGTTGGATAAATCATCAAGTTATTTTGTTTATAGGCATGTAGATGTAAATAACCGTTGTAAGGCTTGTAATGCGCCGTTTATGCTTTTTTCTATATCGGAACATGACATCCTGATTTTTGTTATATATGAAAATACATTTCTTTAAGAAATGCTTTGATAAAATTTATTTATCATATTTTGTTTTGGGAACAGATTCCGCAACTCTTTTAATCAAAGGACTACTCTGAATTATTTTAAAAGCATAAATTAAATCGGTCTTTTCTGGCCATGAATTTGGGGTTGTCACAAAAGACCTACCCTAAAGGATCTTTGTGAGTAGACAATACCGCTTTGGGAATCTGTAGAAGTATGTATCAATAAGCAACTCTGAAAGGAATAGAGTACCCAAACGAACAACATTCCTTTTTCTTTTGAAAGTATGATCGTTAACACCTACATGTAGCGAACCTGCTAGTGTTCCACCAAGCTACCTAGAATAGTTAGTGGCCGTCACCTATACTCTGTTAGATGACAGGTCGCGGTAATACAATGTGTGACCTCTCACCATTATTTTATTTTCCCAAAAACTCTTTACTACCCAACCCATTATTGTATCTTTCTCAAAACCCTTTTGCTACCTAATGCAAACTTGAATATGATAAAGTAATTTATATACGTAAAATCATATCATATTATTGCACATAGCAAAGATATTAAGAACACGAATAATAAGCACACATTGCATTTAATAGATACTTCATATCTATGTGTAAGTTCAAAGTAAATATGCGCTCACTGTTAAAGTGGATGCCTCAGAATTTGGGCAGCATTTCACCTTAGAACCTTGACGTTTCCCTTGACCTGAACTACGTATGATTATTACTAAGTCTTAGTTTGATATTCCTTATGACTAATGATAGTCTAGATTCCTCAACAATCTCAATGTCTACATCAAGGTCTATCAAGTAAGGAATAATCATGTAGGATCATATCGAAGGTAGGGTTCGTTTGGTATACAAAGTATACTGTTTGGAAATCCCACTTTAAACACCTTACTAAATCTAGCCTAGAAATTATCCCCGTAAGTAGATTAATCAATATAATGACTTGGAATCACTAAAAAACCGTATGTATAGGTTCATAATAACGACTATGAACATAAATATAAGTTACACTTGAAAATAAAATAAGTGTAGCTTAACTTACAAAGGTTTTAGCGAAAACTGATAAATTATGTGGGCACAATCCTAACACGAAAGCTTCTATTTTTCAGACCCTCTGATGCACTAGAGCCTCGCTACTGACCAATGAAAACCCCTAAAATTAAACCTAAAGAAATATGGAGGTTTGAGAGTGTTTTGGTGGGTTTAAATGAGAAATAAAGTGAAAAACGGAAGGATATATATATATATATATATATATATATATATATATATATATATATATATATATATGTTGTTGAGAGGCACGCCGCGCACAAAAAAGGGGTGTAATGTGTACTATTGTCATGCTAGCTCCTCTTAGTCTTTACTACATGTTCGATTTTCCTTGGGCCTCCTCTTCTTCTAGAACATACCACGTGTCAGCTTATTATGGTGCCACGTGTCACAACCATGTGGTGCCACGTCATCGTGTCTTTTGGAGGAAATGGGTAGCTGACCATGTGACGTGGCGCCACCAGGTGGTGACACGTTATCAGCCTAGGCGGTTTCTTACAGATCTTGGACAACCATAACTTTCTTATACGAGTTTCATTTTCGACGTTCTTTATATCCTCGGAATCATCTCGATGAGCTCTACAACTTTCAATAAGGTCCCAATAGCTATTTATCACTTTAACTAAAATTCATATTTAGACCAGTTTAGATTGTTAAAGTTTGTGCTAAATTCATAACTCATTCATATGAACTCCGTTATCGACTATCTTATGTCGAAGAGTTCATATTTACGAGATCTTCAATTCTCGTTTAGATTGTTTTGGCTAACAATCAACCGATTTTAATTTCGATTTCTATGTACGCAATGTTGCGTTGACACTTCGAAAAATCATAAGTTCCTCATACGAAGTTAGATTTGCATGTTCTCTATATGCACGCTCTCGGTTTTACGACTACTATGAATTTCATTTAGATCACTTAGGCTAATAAGTAATCTATCAAAATTCACTTTTTACGATACGTAGAATCGTGTCGGTTTAATCGTGAAACTTCGAACAATCATAACTTTTTCATACGAAGTCGGATTTCAGAGTTCTTTATTGTATGAAATCCTTGTCACATATACTATAACTTTGTTTAAGATTATTTATCCTAAATAACCTTCTATAAAAATGTCGTTTTATTGCTTATTATATCTTAATTGTCTAGCCCGAATCTACGCCTATTACATCAGTCATCCTCTCTCTCTCTCTCTCTCTCTCTCTCTCTCTCTCTCTCTCTCTCTCTCTCTCTCTCTCTCTCTCTCTCTCTCTCTCTCTCAGTTTTTTAGCCATTGTATCGCCCTACACCTCCATTGCTCCGACAAACATTATAGACCCTCCGCTTCCACTTGTTGTCGTCACTCCCTCCTACCAACAGTGTCATCACAAGCTAGCAACAACCAAGGAAGAACCACCATCAAGCGATTTTCCGACAACTCCCGAGTAGTTTTCTGACGGATTTGGATAGTTTTCGACGAACACTTTTCAACCTAAAACAGTTTTTTATCAGGCCAATCTACAGCCCTGTCGCGACATTACGTTGAAATGAGGTGTCATTTGTGACGTCCTGAATCGCAATCCAATTCCCGATCTCGACAACAGTTTCTACACATGCTTCGAAAGCGAGTTTATGGCCCCACCTTTGAACTCTTTAATGTAAATGCATGCAAATTTACTTGATATTTTTTTATATAAACGTTTTAAATTGTTATTTAACTGTTTATATATTTGTCATAATTTTTATATATGGTTTTGTTAAAAAAATAGTCATTTAAAAGATATACACTTGTTTTTAATATTTATTAGCCAAATTGTTTATAAATTTATAATTATAAATGAAATATCGTTATAGTTATAAAGTTTATAATTCGTTGTCTTATTTTCAAAAACAATATATATATATATATATATATATATATATATATATATATATATATATATATATATATATATATATATATATATATATATATATAGACTTGTTTCTATATTTGGAATTGTTGGTTTTACAGTTAAAACCTGGATTTGTTCAATTTACAGCCGTTATGCTGTCCGGTTTTTGTTAAAAACATTATGTAGTTTTTGTACACGGTCAACCTTTTGTTTAGTTACTTTAATATTTGAAGTTTAAAGGCACATACTCACTCACTTTTAGAACTTTTTAAACTCAGGAAATCTACATGAGTTAATCCAAAGAGTAAAGGCCTCTTTACTAGAATTGTTGATCCAAAGAGAGAGCCATGAAGTTTTGTATAGATCTATACAGGTTTACATCCCCACATGTGGTTGCTAACTACAACCTTAGTCTGGCGAGACATAGCGGGTGATAACCATCCATTGTTGTTTTCATCGATGAAGCATCTAGAGAATTTGCTTTGGCATGCACCCTTTGTCGTGCCAAGCAGAACCGAATCATGTAGTTTTATTGTAAGTTCACGATAAACACCGAATACACTCTAAAAGCACCTATATAAGATGAAATAGACTTATATGTAGCTCGAGCACATGTTTAAAGCGGATTATAAAAATCTATATTTTTATACAAGTATTATATGAACTTATAAACAAAATACAAAAACTCTTGTGTTATAAAACTTATATTTTTATAAACAAACATTTATACACAGCACGCATACTGTTATGGATTATGAATACGATAAGCCATCTTTTAATATTATCTTTAAGAAATTGTAATATTTTTCATAATGTCTTGTCTTTGCCATAATCAACCTGATTCCAAGAGCCAAAAAGGATCGAACAAACTCTTCAAACCATTCCAAACAGAACCAAAAGTGTAAGTCATTCTACAATACTATTATGCACAACCTACAAAAACTATAACTGAGAATAAGCCTAGAAATATTATTCAGTCTTAAACAATTCACAGACTTCATGAACATTACTTATCAGATATGATCCCATAAAAACCAATTTCATAATATCTATCATTATACATGCAAAATGGAAATGTCTCTAACAAAAAACTAAAATTAAGAAACCTGACAACAAATTCAAACCCAGTTTTATCTTGGTTGTGTGACATGATCAAGCTGCACTTTTGAACTTTGCATCATACTCGTATGGTTGCTGAATTTAACACAATAAATAAATAAATAAAATCATAAACACAAGCACATATAATAATTAATTATAAAGCAAGTAAATTACCAAAAATATTGCTGAAATCAATCTGCGTGCAAACCATCTTTTATGCATTGCCTGTTGAGCTCGTGAAGCCGCCTCCACACTTTCAAATCGCACATACACATAACCAGCACTGTGCCTGATAATAATAATATAATTATAAAATTAATATAATAAATAAAAGAATGTTTATACTTTTATTATATAGAACACATACTTATCAACATGGATATGCTTCACTCTTCCATAATTACAACACTCGTCTTCCACATCATCTTTTATATCCAAATCAAAGTCCGGCTCAACCTGTAATTAAATAGTAATACATACACCTCAAATTATATCACTATAACAAAAACATGATGAATTTATTTAATAATCTAATAATTCAAAAAAAAAATGAAAAGTAAAAAGTAAAAACAAACCTCGGTGGATGGATCAAACATGTTTTTCAAAAGCAAGCACTCGCTAGGGTTTCCAACAGGCTCTGAAACAATTTGGGCTAAAGCTGGAACAGGGACTGTTGTAGATGGCCCATTAATCGCTTGAATTGGGCCAGACCCATTCACCAGATTTGCCCCAGGAACAACACTGCAAGGGTAATATCGTCAATTCTGGCTAAATAAAATGAAATTAAGCACGCAATGTGTAACTTACCTCGATGCGATACCACTTCTATCAAGCTTTGCCATAAGCATTGCCCTAGATTGCGCATTTAGAGCCTGTAAAATACCCGATAAACCATCTGAATTAGACTAAATGACCATTTTACCCCTTACACAACATTCCCAAAAAAAAAACAAATACTCACCAAACCTCCACCATCATCATCATCAAAGTCTGCGGCTTTTGCTCCTGAATCTTGTGCAACAACATGATCAGTAACCGAAGATACCTACAAAAAAAAACAAAATGTAACATTGACCCTAAAAGTCAACATTCACATAATATATAAATAAATAAATAAATAAAACAGGCACAAAATTTCACCTTAATTGTCCTCCCAGCTATCTCAAGCTTCCCATTTAAGCTTTGTGCAGCCTTTGAATGTTCAAGTTGAGCAAACTATAAAAATAAAAAATGAGTTATATATTGGTAATTATAAATAAGAGAATAACTATGAAGGAAATTTTGAAATTAGAATTTTAAAAAGTGACCTGAATGAACCCGAAACCTTTACAATGACCCGTTTCAGGATCCGTGGGGAGTTGGACAAGCTCCACGGGTCCAAAAGCTTCAAAAATCTGTGAATGATTATGAAATATTTAAAATTTATATATTTTATCAGTTACAATTGACTGAATGATACGTGTTGACTTTTCACCTGTTTGAGTTGGAGTTCAGTCATGTTGAAGTGTAAATTTCCAACATAAAGTTTCCGGTCAACTGCCCCGTAGGGACCCGCAATGCCACCTGTCCCGCCAGCTGTAGCGTTAGATTGGACAAGATTCTTCTCAGCTTCTGAAGGTTTGACCATGACAGGTTGACCAAGAAGCAAATGACCCGAAAGGGCAATTGCCATTGGCACAGACATTGCATCATAAAACTCAATATACCTGAAAATTAAACAATTATGATTTTTGAGACATAAAATAAAACAAACAAATATAGAATAAAGATTAAAGATTAAAGAAATGTATGACATACCCAACTCCTTTTGATCTTCTTGAATTTCTATCCATGATCAGCCTCACATCTCTAACCTGAAAAGATGATAAAATAACAAAAAAATTAAAAACAGAAACATAGTTTTACTTTAGGACGAATATACCCCTGCTGCTATACCATCATTTAATTTTTTTACCACATTGGAGGGTGCTACTGCTACAGCTCACATTCACAAAGATCATTGACTAACATATGTCCATAAAAATTCACTCACCCCACTATAATAGAATCATGTTGGGATACAAGAAAGTCAATAGAGGAGCATTTACTGCAACAGGAAGGAGATGTATCTCAATAACAAGTAATTATATTGTGTAAATAATAATCATAAGTCATAAATTATAACCTGGTGTATATAAGTTGATCATGCACTACGAGTGGAAACTAAATGATAATAATACAAAAAAGAATTAAAAACAATTGATTGACATTTGCCAAAGATAAAGAGTAAGCATTGTGTCCATTACCTTTCCTGCTTTTGAGAAGAACTCATAAACATCATATTCAGTTGCCTTCAGTGGCATCTGCAAAGTGAAAACAACAAAGAAAGTGGTTAATATTAGTTTTTATAGAACAAAAAAGTCAAATAAAGTCAAAATGTTGAAATTTCTATCCACAAGATATACCTGGTAAGCAAAAACAGTCCTTTGGTCTCTTTCTGGATCAGCTTCAGGCTCTGCTTCTTTTTTATCTTTCAATCTCCTGCAATATAAACAACTTACAGTATAATGAGAAAAAAAGAAATCAAGGGTGAACACTGATCAAAATGACATAACTACCTGTTTTTTTAAATCTTTAAAGTGAACATAACATGTTCTTAAACATCATGATATTTTCCCAGTGATTTGAAGAAACATGTGAACAGTTATATATATATATATATATATATATATATATATATATATATATATATATATACTGTGTTAAGACTGTTAGCTTCATAATGTTAAAGACCATGTTGGCAAAAGTCTCACTGTACCATATATGCATCATTTACAGTATTACATAACTGAATCATTCATCTCAGAATCTGTAAAGTGACTTTGAATAGCTACATTTCTTGAATTTTTTTTCCAAGATATGACATGTAAATGGTCAAAGAAAAGATAATCTGTCATTTAATCGAATTTTCACAATCTTATGTTAAGAAAGTTAGATTGAATTAGTACTTAGTTAAGCAGTTAAGCTAACCTAATTTTTAGTTCATATTATCTACACAATGCTTTAAGCTTTTGAGTCAACTAAACAGTGCTTCCACACACTGCAGAAGAGTATAAATATTGCATATTTGTATCCAAAGATCACTGCAGCAAACTAAAATATGGAGTTAAATCAATAATGTCTTCTCAGAGAACAAAAACTTCATAGATTGAAACAGCACCATATGCATTGCCAACCTAAAAATTCAATACATCATTCGTTAACATTGAATTCAGCCCACAAGTAACCTTATTATCTTCAAAGCCAAATCTTAGAGGTCAAATATAAAATAAAGAACCAAACAGACCTTATGCAACTCAATTTGTGGGAAAGCACTTTCTTCAATGAATCCGTGAAGAAATTTCCGCATTGTTATAGCTCATTAGTATGTGCAAATACTCCATCTACGATTTCAACCCAAGTTAGAAGCTACATACTTGGTTTGCTAATTAGCTAAACTAGATAGTTTTTATAGTCTCTTAGGGGAATTCTCCATGAACTAAGATGGATCAACAAGCAATTGCAAGAACTCTTACGTGAAACAACAACAAGAGGCACTCTTATCATAATAAACCCTTAACTAAATGCAGGGAGATAGTTAATGTAAATGATATACTGATAATCAAACCTATGATTTCAACTTTCAACTCACAATCATCCACTGGGAAACCAATCTGCGTATAAGACGACTTAGACGACTACAGGAATGCATTGTGGAAGCAGAATTAGTAAAAGGAAAAGACTTTTTCACCTGCTTTCCCTTGATTCGAGTTCTCTTTCTTTTTCTCTTAGCAATTCCTTCTCACGCTCTCGCTCAAGCCTGGAGTGACTGCGGCTCCTTCTGGACCTTTCTCTTTCCTTCTCCCTTTCTCTCTCCCTCTTCTCTCTGTCCCTTTCTCTATCCTTCTTCTCCTTCTCTCTATCCTTATCTTTGTCCCTCGAACTCCTTTCTCTATCTCTCTCTTTATCCTTCTCCCTATCCCTCGAACTCCTCTCTCTATCTCGGTCTCTCTCTCCATCTCTACTGCTTCTGCGCCGATCTCTTTCTCTATCCACATCTCTCTCCGAATCTCTACCGCTACTCCTGTGACGCTCTGACCTGGGAGACCTCTCCTCACGGTCACGCTCTCTGTCTCTCCTACTCCCGTTCTCTTCCTCTCCTTTGCTTTTCTTACTCTTCCGATCTTCTTCTACGATTCGGTCATCTTCCTCGTCGCCTTCCTCTCTGTCCCTCCGTCTGTAACCCTTCTCGCTCTGTTCGGCGCCGCCGTCCTTTGCCTTGGAAGAAGAGCCGTTCCGGTTGTCAGCCTCGTCGACTGTCTTCTCCAAGTAATCATACTCGTCGAAGTCCATGAGATCACTTTGCCTAGTCCAAATTGGGATATGAAGGATTGAATTGATAGCCGAAGTTTTCGTGAATTCTTCGACAGAGATGACGGACTGGAATTTGGCTTCAGAGAAAGGATTAGATTTAGGGCTTCTTCTTCCGGTTGCGCGTAGAGAATATAAAAATAACTTTATATTTTAATATTTTATCTGAAAGGTTGTTATTTTATTTTCTGAAAATTCATTTAAATTTATAAAAGTTTTTATAAAATCATTTATATTTATTAAAGTTTAAATAAGACTAAACTGCACAAATGGTCCCTGTGGTATGTCGAAAATTGCCACTTTGGTCCAAAAAAGTTTGGACTAGCACCAGTGATCCAAAACTTTCATTTTGTTGCGTTTTTGGTCCAGTATGTTTTGATTTTTTATAAAATGACGAATTTGTCCCTATTAATATGATTTTCCCTTTTTCTTATTTGCTTTTCTAGTTTTTAGATTAAAAAAAAAATAATAATAAATAAATATCTCTTTCTCCCCTCTCTCTCTCTCTCTCTCTCTCTCTCTCTCTTCTTCCATTTTCGTTTGTTCTTTGTAATTCTCACGAACCCTTCATCACCGACTACACCACCGTCGTCGCCGTCAGTCACCACCACCTTCAACCCCTATCGTCTCCACCACCACCAACCTCTGGCAAATCTGAAAGCCGACATTACATACAACAAACCATAATCGATTACTACCACCGATGACCATCTTTTCACCTGCTTAGTTCCTCTTCTCCGTCGGGAAACCATCTCTGTAAACCCAATTTTTGATAAAAACCATCAATAATTTCCGAAACCCTAGCACCTCTACCTTATCTCATCTAGATTAGGGTTTTCGACGAAGAAGGACGTCGACGATAGATGATTTTCGCCGAAGAAGAAGAAGAAGGATATGATGAGGACGAGACTCACCGAAGAAGAGAGAGAAACGAAGGCGGAGTTTGTGGCTCGAGTTTCCAGATGAAGGCGCCATCGATGTGTGAAGACGATGATGTGTATCTAGGTTTTCAAATCGGAACTACTGAAGGATGAAGCCACCTTCGACTTCGATCTGGGTTTTCACGTCTTCGCTGCCCTTCGTCTTCTTTAGTATGTCCCAACCTCTGTTTCTAACTAAATTCTTTCTCCGACCAAACCATCTGTTCTTTGGATTACTATCTTCATCGAGTTATAATGTTGTTGAGAGAGATAAAGAAATGGAGAGGTGGTGTTACTCCGATTGGGAATAATCTATGGTGGTCGGAACCCCCATTCGCCGGAAGTTGGTGGTGACGTTAGTTTCGTTTTGTGAAAATTCACAGAGAGAGAGAGAGAGAGAAGAGAAGGGGAAGTGCAGGGAGGGGTAGGGTAGTGATGCAGGTGAGTTTTTTTCTTTTCTTTTTAACTATTGTAATACAAATAAATAGAAAAAGAAAATACAAAGGGCAAAATTGGTATTTTAAAAAAGTTTAAAATAAATTGGACCAAACAAGCAACAAAATGAAAACTTTGGACCTCTGGTGCTAGTCCAAACTTTTTTGGACCAAAGTAGCAATTTTCAATATACCACAGGGACCATTTGTGCAGTTTAGTCTTTAAATAATCTATAACTTTGATCGGACAAAAGTGGTAAGATCTGCAAATTTATCATGTTGTGGAGCTCGGTTAGTCCGGCACCATTCCTACGGCCTAATGATTTAATTATTTTTCAAATGAAATATATTTCTTCACATAGAAAATAATATATAGCTTATCATGTTTATCCAAACGCGGGTAAAAATTGTATTTCAGTTATAATATATGAAAAAGTACTTTTAAATAGTTTAAAAGAAATGAAAAACATACTTTATAATATATAAATAAAAAAATATTTAACAAAACGCATAAACATGTTAAATATGTTTTAAAAAAATCATTTACATATCAATTATATAAAAACGAACCCTCTCTAATATATGAATGTTTTTTGTCACTTGTCACTGATGGGTTTTGGACATAAGAACTTGACCTATGTGCACATACAACCCTATAACTTGGATCTAGGTTTCACTAATTGAACATGCAACATATCCAAGACTTTCATGGCTAGATCTAATGTAAACAAACAATTAAAACATATGAAAACAGATCTAGAATGATACCTTGAGTCACTTGCTTGAAAACCTTCTTCTTCTTGGAGCTTAGAGTCACAAATGTCACTCCTCTAATGGCTTACAAACACCAACTAGCAAGAAGATGATTTGAGAGAGACGATGAAGAGGGAAATCGGCTCTAGGGTTTCTCCAATCACAAGGGTGGTCGATTTCCTCAACCTTATGGGTCTATTTATAATGTGAGCTCCTAGGGTTTTACCCTTAAACCCTAATTGGATAACTTAGCCTCAAAGCAATCCAAATCCCTTCCTAGATAAGGCCTTGGACGATTTCTAGGTGATCCATATCCCTAAAATCGTCCAACCCTATATCCATAAGGATTATCAGCTCAAAATACAACTTTCACACATTTGATAGTTTATACCCCTTTATTCAATTAATCTCTTTAAGTCGCCAAATTATTTCCTAATTAATTTATGACTTATATTAATCAAATAATATTATTATTCTTTTAACATATTATTCTTATAATATATTAATAATAACATCTATTCTCTCTAAATCACCCTATCAAGTTGCTATGGTGAAGGCAACCCAAAATGACCATGCACAATCGGGTCAAATACTTACCAAATATAGTTACAGCCTTAGACACTAATCCAACAGTCTCCCGCTTGGATAAGTCTAGTAACTATAAACGCAAACACAATCCGATTAACAATCGTAGCTCTCAAAGACGCTGTCAACTCTGATCATATCAGTAACCTATCCTTTAGATAAGGGATCGTACAGTCCTCTGTTTTGATATCGTGCAGACGATTTCATGAGACATTTTCATACTCATTGTCCAACAACTATTTTCTCGATCAATTCAGTCATGACCGGGCCCGACAGATAAGTCAAATCAAATCATCGAGCGGTTGTGATATCACTTTTACTCTCTTAGAATAAAAGTAACAGATAAATGATGTGCACAAAGGTACCCATTAATTTTAATATTTATAACCTAACAAACTTAGACTAACTATGCACTTATAGGCAGTGTACCTAGTCAGATTACAGTATAGCTTAGGTAAGTCGGATGTCGATCACAGGGAACGGTGGATTAATTTAATATATTTGATTATAGGTCACACGAAAAGAATAAAAGAAATAATTTAATAAATCTCAAACTAATAATTAATTAACCATCCTCGATAAACTAACAGGAAAACAAATCTCTTTAGGTACTTTGGTTTAGACAAATTCCACCTTGAAAACATAAACAATTGCATACACAAATTCATTTATTCATGTTCATCGATTCCTAAATTGATTAGATTCGTATTCACTATAACTAATCCTTTAGCAAACAAGTTAATTCAAACAGTGATCAATTGATTAAACTAACATGCTTCCTAGTGTTCAGTTCGTATCAAGCAAGACTTGTAAATATAGTTAATTTAAACATTTAATTAACCTCTTGTTGATGGTCATCAAACAAGGCTCACACATTAACTTACTTATTCCCAAGTTAATCCTAGTTTCACATTCGTTATTTCTAGTCTTATAATCTCAATGGTCATCAAAAATCATAAGAGACAAGCAAATCAAGCAGGTGTTCATACAACTTAATTCACTTAACAATTAACAGCAAATAATCATCATTAACACATGAGGATCTTTGAACAAGCTTGGCAAGATAAATTAAACACAAATAAATTATTTAATATAACAATTAGTCTAAGAATCAAAACTTCATTCAATCGTAAACACAAAATAAAAGGTTTTTACACCCAAATCAGAAACTAAATACAAAAAGTACCATAAGGAAGTGCTAAACATGGTCACGTTAGCAATCCATATGATTACCGACATGTATCCGCTCTCCAATCCTTCAGATCTCTGCTCCCGTTAGCTTAACGGCCTTCCGGCTGCCTTCTAGACCCTCAAAACGGCTTAACAGAAGTTAATTGTCGACTAAATTAGGTTAGAAGTCGAATCCCCCCTCCTGGTTAGCTAAAAATCGACATTTATAATCTTTGTGGCCGACCTAAGTACGCTGGGCGTACTTAGGATTACGCAGCGCGTACTCAAGATAATCACGCGATCAAGTCTATCCGGTGCAAGCGTGTACGCGGGGCGTAACCTTAAGGTACGCGGGGCGTACTCGCTACCTCAACATTCTTTTCTTTCTTTTAGCTTCTAAGCCCGGTTTCCGCTTCAGTCTTTTCTTTTGTGCTTTATCGACAACAAATAGCTGCAAAACATAATTCAAAGTATTATGAGTACTCTTTAGTTCTAAAATAGAATAAATAAGGCCAAAATATTAAGATAAAGTGCATAAAAATATATATATAAAAATACACATATCAATAAACTTCGACTTATATGCATTTACTTATCGACTAACCAACTATACACAACAATGCGTTTTATGACATCAATTTACTGATGCGGTTTCGCATTATCAATGTACAACCAATTAGTAAATAATAAACCATATATCTAGGTTTTAAGACCATATGATATTATCGTCTTGCGATCACTCCAAAATGATTCCAGCAAGCACGAGTTTATTCCAATGCTCAAAACTTGTTCATAAGCACTCATGAACGTTGCAGTAAATCTTTGCTATGTCTAATACCATTTAGACAATCTACACACCAATTCACGACAATCTTCATTCATACCTACTTCCAACATATGAACGATTGTGGACAGTTTGAATAATTCGATTATTCTTTAATAAACTCAATTATTCTGGAAGTCAAAACATGCAAAGTGAAACAATAGCTAAACAATTAACATAAGACAGCAACAATACTTATAAATAATACTCCTTTATTTAATCATCAAATGTCAGTTACATTTATCTATTATAATACTATCTAATCTAAACTAATATCATCCTTCAACCCAATACTCCTAGCATGTTGCAAGTGTTTAACCCTGCTCAGTCCCTTCGTAAGCGGATCTGCTGGGTAATCTTCTGATGATATCCTCTTAACCACGAGGTATCCTTTTTCTACTCGATGCCTAATAAAGTGATATTTTCTGTCGATATGCCGAGATCTACCATGATCCCTCGGTTCCTTGGTCAAGGCAACCGCTCCTTCATTATCACAGAAAATTTCCATGGGTTCCTTTATGGCAGGCACAACTCCAATATCGCCAATGAAGTTCTTCAACCATATTGCCTCTTTTGATGCTTCGCTCGCTGCAATGTACTCTGATTCGCACGTTGAATCAGCTACAGTTTCTTGTTTGGAACTTTTTCAAGTTACTGCTCCTCCATTAAGGGTAAAGACCCATCCCGACTGGGAACGGTAGTTGTCCCTGTCGGTCTGGAAACTGGCGTCATTATACCCTCACACCCTCAAGTCATCACTCCTTCCGAGGACTAGAAACCATTCCTTGGTCCTCCGAAGGTACTTAAGGATGTTCTTAACCGGAATCCAATGCGCTCTACCAGGATTCCCTTGATATCTACTGACCATGCTCAAAGCAAAGGCCACATCAGGACGAGTACAAGTCATAGCATACATGATCGAGCCAACTGCGGAAGCGTAAGGTACTCGGCTCATCTCAGTTATCTCGGCTTCGGTACTCGAACTTTGAGTCTTACTCAACTTGGTATTACTATGTATTGGTAGTTCTCCCTTCTTCGAGTTTTCCATACTAAAACGTTTTAGTACC